TCTTTCGGATTTCAGACTGTTTGTTGCGCTATACGGATCTGTTTACAATGGCCATCGTATACATACCTTCACGCACTCCACATCTTGTCCGAGATTTGAAGCTCCCAAACCCTCAACCCCTAAACCTTGGGTACTGCACCCCCTCAGTAATTATAATAGGGTTATATATAGCCCTAATTACTAGGACCCCTAATATAGACTGTTACTGAGGGGGGGCAGTACTGAACCTAAACCCAAAACCCCAGACCTAAATTTAAAAGGAAGTCAATTCCAAAGCTCCTACGCAAGTCATGAAGGCACTAGAAGATTGTTAAAGTTTCAGAGTTTGGGTCGAGTACCCTGGTTTAGGGTTTAGGGGCTTTCTATATATGGGTGTACATTGACTATTGGATGTTTCGAGGGCTTTTGCAATTTTGGCTTTCAGACTTCGCTGCTCGTTCGAAGGCTTGGAGTCTTGTCCTGGAAAGTTTTTGCTACTATCGGGAGCAAGTGCTTGATGGGCAACCCAATTTGGAATCCGGGAGGCTTATCCATTGTATACAGAAATTATATGGCAACCCTGCTTTCTTGTCCAAGATATAAGATTTGCGGAAATACCAGAACCACCCACTTCACTGCTTGGAGTAAGGCCTCCTGTAACTTTTTCCTGGTCGGGATTCTTCTCAATATTTTTGGGTACCAGCCTGTGTATTTACCCGGACAGTTCGTAAACCCTATGTCCCAAGCCCCTGAACCCTAAACCCCAAACCAATTGGAAGGAAGTCATACATTTCATGATGGCAATTCCAAAGCTCCTTGCAACCACTAGAGGGGTCTGAGAACATTTTAGAGTTTGGGGCACAGTTTCGGGTTTTCTTGATGTAAGCGGGCAATGGATTTTTTAAGATTTGGAGACATGATCATCCTGATCTTTGTCTTACCCCTATAGCTGGTTGTGCACAATGTTCCATGCAATTCCTCATCACCCTGAAACCATGAATTATACGAAGTATCTTTATTATTGTACTAGTATTCCTGATCAAGACAAGAATAATGATCTTGCCGAGCTTTTTTCCAACATGAAAATTTGCAGCTACCTGCTTCTATTCATGCTGTGGCCAGCGCCTGGCAGATTACTAGCCTACCGAAGCAAGTCCAGTCACGCGTGTAGCATAGACCCCGTAATCTGACTCCCAATTGAAGACAGGGTGCACTAGCCCCTGGAAGGGTTCGGCAGGCAATGCCGACACGCGCACAGTGCGATTCCTCTAACTTGTCTGCCTGGTTGTCGCGCCGATCTGAGAATGGAAGATTGCCTGAAACTGGAGTATCCTGCTCTTGCTTAAAGCATGATCATGACAAGTGCTCCTGTAACCTGGTATCTAATTGAAGTCTACTCCCTGATGATCTTCGTAATACAATACTGCTAAAGGGTCTGCCTGCGTGGATTGTTTTATTTATATATATATATGCATGTTTTGGATTTAGGGTTAGGGTTTTTTTCAAAGCTCAGATGCCAACATGTTGCAGCAGTACTGTTTTCCGTAGAAGTCCAGGAAGGCATGACATACTGCAAGCGCGTGTCATTGCATCATGTGCTCGCTACAAGATTGGGCAGGTCCTCGTGCCTTTAATTGCGTTTGAATCCAGCCGGCTGCTTTCCCGCGACATGATTTCAATAGCTGTTGTTGCGTGCTAGATATGCATTTAGCATCCTGAACCTGGCCATGGGTGTTGCCTGTATCACTGGCTCCGGCATGATTATGATTAATTGAGCGCTGTAGCTTGTGCGCAAGATGACTTGGGCGGTTGTGCAAGCAAGACAAGCATCCCGCATACATACTAGCCTAATGGTGCCTATTTGTGTTCTCCACTCTGGACAGGAGGCTGGTCAGAATGTGAGCAAGGTGACCGCTGGCCTTGCGAAGAAGGGCGGGCGCAAACGTCGCAGTGCCTACCGTGATCTCTTCAGGTATGTTCGTCTCCCAGTGGAGCCTTGTCAGCTCTAGCAAATTCTGCTATGTGCGAGGTTGGGTTTCTGTGATATGGGCACCTTGCAATTCCAGCCACGAAGGCTCCGACCTGGGTGGAATGCAAAGTCCTCAAAGAGCCCTACGGTGAGGAGGTCATTGTCCGAAAATTGCCCATGTGGGACCCCCATGAATTGCTTGACTTTCTATGGAGAACGAAGCGTGTCTACGTGAGCACGGATGAAATCATGTGGCTCTGCCGCATTTTTCTGGCATGAGTGCAGGCAGCCTAGGGAACTTTCTTCCCATGTACCAACAGTATGATGCAGAAACCTGCAGGGCGTACTGGGAACACTTCCGAAGACTTGGAGTGGAATGGTGCGTGCAGCACCCGGCTCATGGAGATGAACTTCCCATCTCGGCCCCTCTGAAAAAAGGATGGGCCCATGAAGCCTGCGACAGTGTAATGTGATGATCCGACAAGCAACCTGCATGCGCTTGTCTAAGGTTTATGGAGATGAAGCAGCGTACTCCAGCCAGCATGACAAGTTTCTCGGGCTGGTCTTGTCCTCCCCGCTCTTCAAGCCGAAAGGTGCTGCGGCACCATGTCCAGTAATTAGTTGCATGGTGCTAGACTGCCCCTTGACAGGTGTTTCTGCGTGGCACAAGTACTTCCTCTTCTTCATCATCAACACAGCTATCAGCTGCGGAAATGGTGCCCGGCACATGCAAGTTATGTGTCTGTCAAGCGCAGGAGGGCTTTTGAAAAACAGAGCTTTATAATTAGCTTTTGAAAGGCAACGCTTCGCCCAGTCCTCTTACGAGCAGTGTTCAGCTTGAACCTGGCCTTGTTGGGACGCCGTCCTGATGTTCTACGCCCGCTCAGCATGAAATTTGCTGTCACGGAGCTGAAGGGGGATTGGATGTGGTTCCGTGACCTGTTCCAGCTGAAGAACAGTTATCATGCCAACTGCATATGTTTTCGGTGCAATGCTTCAAGGACCAGTGAACATGGTGTGGTATGGACTCACTTTGGGGCTCAGTTTCATGAGTTCTCCACAATGACTTTCATCAACCATGTCCTGCCAGCGCAGCCGAGCCCGTTGATCCTGCTGGAAGGATTCAACGTGCGCTTCCTGCGCTTTTGTTTAATGCACGTATTAAACCTCGGAATCTACCAGGTTGAGGACGCTGAGGGCCTTCTCTGGCTAGCCCAGACGGATTGTCTTCTTCACGAGAACCTCACGCTCCATGACGCGCTCAAGAAGAGCTACAATGCTTTCCGTCGCTGGTGCACTTTGCACCGGGTAAAGTGTTCTGTGAGGCCGTGGAAGCTCTCGCACTTCCATCTTGGAAAGGACCCGTTAAGGCCGACGCAGCACCCCTGGATCAACTTTAAAGCGTATAACGCTCGTTGTGTCCTTGCCTGGCTTGCAGAAGCCTGACAGTCATAACAGGCGGTTCCCTGCAGGAAAACTATTTCCAATAAGGCTGCTTTTGTTATTCTGCTTTCGGTTTTTGCTTGTATCTGAGGAGGAACTCTGCAGTGACCGAATCCTGCAAAGCCTCAACCGAATGGAAGGGGAGACGGCGATTGCTTGGAAGGCTCGCGCGTTGACAGGTAGCCTGGCCATTCAGGCTGTGCCACTTGTCATACAATTGCGCAATGTCACGGTCATATTTGTCATGCTTTTCGTGCCCTAGCTTCTTTGGAGATGAGGTCCCTCCTGGCGGAATGGCAATTGCGCCTGGAGTGTTATCCCAAATATCTCCAACCATGGCAAGCCCAGGACCTGTATGACAGAGGTGCGCGTGATGCGACAGTGATTGTGCGCAGCTTTCCGTCTGAGACCATGACCTGCCCCTGCAGGTTATGAATTCCTTGCTGTTCACAAAGCAGCAGCCATGGATGCTGTGGAGCATCACAAATTGAGGTGGGCAATGCTCCCCAAGTATCACGTGCCCTGTCAGAAACACCATGCCTTTTCGAAGACGTTCTACGAAGCGCAAAGACATCCTTCTGTATTCAGGGTTTAGGGTTTAGGGTTTAGGTCTATTTAATTCCTTTATAGATATAATTCAGCGTATTTAGGCTTACGATGAATGTCTTATATAAGGGTTTGACCTTTAGGCTCTAGATTTATGTTTAGGGCAGACTTGGCACTTCAGGCTTTCGAGGAATGTCTGAAAGACGTGAGAGAAGAGTTGTACAACCCTAGAAGCTTCCACTGTTATGGGGAAGAAGACTTCAATGGATGCATGAAGAAGACATGCCGGGCCCAAGCTGGACGCAACTTCGAATATCGCGTGATGAGATGTGCTTTGCTGCGGCCACTTTTCAGCAATTATCATGTGATCAGTTTTGTCGAATCTTCCCTCCTTGCTAGATAGATTGTGGGCTTAAGAATCTAAGGGTGGTGACGCTAAAGCAGAGCAGCGTGGCAGAGCACACTGCGAAAGCGTGAATAAAAGAGAAATCTCTGGGGAATATGTTTACTTCAGACCCCCCCATGTACTACCTCTTTATAGGGACCCCCCCAAAATGGTATCGCTAAATGAGTTTCCTCTCATCCCAAGCCCATCGCCTTTCCTATGTGAATCACATCCACATAGCCCCTCTACATACATGCCGATTTAGGGCTCATAGGATTCATAGGGTTCATAGGGTTTATAGGGTTGATAGGGT